GGAAATCCAAGAACATACTAACAGTGACAGCCTCTACGATAGGAACTAAAAAGCTGAGGCACAGGGATAGAAGGAAAACTTACTGGTCCTCCATATCCTCACTTTTAATAAGATTTCATTTTTACCATGGGCATTAATTTTTTTAAAAAAATTAAGAATTATCTCATATTTGACAGTTTTGCAAGCTTATGTGTTTGAAGCCAATAGAAAATCAAGGCCCTCATAAGCATTACGGCAAAATGTAAGCATTCAACAACCATTTATTTAGCAATCCTATAAACTTAGCATAGCCCTATTCAATCTCTTCTTTGGATGTTCATAAAAATGTGTGGTTAGGAAAGATACCTATACTTTCTGCTGGAAGAGATATATATTCCTTAGGCATATATGGGAGGAAACAGGGTAATGTGGATCTCTAACAGGATAAGACCTTACATAAATACAACAAGCCCTCTGCACGTTTCGTATGCCAGAAAAGCGCCTCTATACCCAAGATGCTTTGAATCTGCTTACAAGGTGGAAATATGACCTCAGTGTTTTTTTAAAAAAATAAAAACTCTCCGCCAATAGACTCTACCCATCCTTAACTGGCTGATTATTCAGTGTTTTTCTGAACACTGGCTTCGTCAACCAACCATACCTTACTTTAAGAAAACCAACTATTTGAATACCTGGATTTATTAAAAAAAAATTATAGGAGTGTCCACTTGCTCTAATTAAGGATTCCTTTCAATATGAAAATAATAAACTTTTAAAATATGATTCAATACAAAAAATTACACAGAAATTTCAGGACCACCATCACTGAACACACAGGTACTCAGTAATTACTTGCTGGTTGGATGAGCATACCTATTGAAAATCAGTAGAGTGAAATGGACAAGAGTGTGGGTTGGGATCCAGTTTTCCCTGTGTTCGGGTTCTCTCTCTGCCGTTCATTAGCTGAGTATGACCTTCAACAAGTGACTTAACCTCTCAAGGCCTCAGTATTCCTTACCTAGATAAAACAAATGAGTAATGCCTCCCTTGAAGTTTGTTGTATTAAATGAAAGATATAGGTAAATAAAACATTGGTACATTTTATCACATATTGCCTTTTATCATGTATTATAATATCAGATATGATTTCATTTACTAACTTCTGCTTGCCTGAATGGAAGCAAATGAATGGCAAGAATAAAACACAAGTGTTGTTATATTTTCGGAGATACAATATAGAAAACTATACACGAATATAATTACATATTTAATTTCTCTATCTATATCTATAGCACTCGAACAGTGTCTGGCACATGGTAAATGTTTGGAAAATGGTGGTTAGTAGTATGAAAAGGAACACAAAACACTGAGGGTTTGACTCTCCTTTGTCATATCCACGAAAACCAATTTTGTACGTAACACTCTAGGACGCTTTACTGCGCTGGTACAGGGAGGGGGTAAAAGACTTTGTGTAACAGATTTTTTTTTGTGCGGCCTTAAACTTAGGAGAAAACAGTTAACAGGTATATAAGTAAATTGTGGCCGCTTATAACAATTGTTAACATCTCTTTTGTGTGTGATGATTAGTCATTCTGCAGAGTAAATACTGTGACTTAATATCCTGTCCAAGTTTATTTTATAGTGTTACTTGCTTCCCACTTTCTTAATTAAAAATACTAAATGTAAATGTTTTATTTAACGTCCTAGACTAGAATAGAATATCAGGTGTTTGGGGCGGGAAAGGGAAACATGGTACAAATTGCTTCTGATTCAGAGACTAAATGAATGTGTTCCCTTAGGTGACCAAAGGTTTCTTCTTTTTCAGTTTTCTGGCTTCCCCCCCGCCTTTCCTTCTGGCACTTCTAGTTTGTTTAGTAAAGTTTAGAATTCTCACAAAAGGCCTTATAAACACGTGTTATGAGATTTTAAATCTGATTTGAAAGTGCCTCTTTCCTACTCCCTCTGAGTAAAGTGACCTTTTTAAATGGAGGGAAGTGGGTTTAGATGACAGTCATGATAAATGCGGTCATGTTCACTCAATAAAATAAGGCCCAGTGCATTTGAGGATAAATCAGTGAAATGTACAGCCCCACCTGTCTGTCTCCATCATTCATTTCCACTGTCACTTTCACAGTGGCTGATGGATCACAGTTGCTGTAAAATTAGACAGCCTTTAATCTCATTTCATCCTGATTAGCTTCTCTTTACCCTTTCCCTCTAACTCACTGACTGACACGCTAAAAACTCTCACTGGGCTATATATGAACATGAGTACAAACTTCTCCTCCAATACCTGCCTGTGAGGGCAAGGCTGGTGTCCACTTCTCGAGAAATCTGGAAAGGGTCAGGCATGTATCCCTTGTTATTTAAAAGGTAATCGATACGTGCAGTACCCAGTGCCATTTTAGACAGATGTTTGCTCTTGCTCACTGCCCTATTTATTTTGCTTTGCTTCAGGTTTAATCAGAAGTCAAATTAGGTCTTTTGCAAAACTCGAACATTGATTTAATATAGATTTTTTCTAATAAATTTGGAACGTTTCACATTCAGAATAATTTCAAAGAGTTATTTGTGTGTATTTATAGCCTCTCGACTCACAGTAATAATTTAGAAAAGACAATAATTCAGGAATGAGAATACTAAAATACTCAGCCAAGAAATATAGCACAGAAGGTTTAAAAACAAGAGTAAAAAATGGGACTGCCTTCAAGTAGCCTTTATATTAGGACTTCAAAGAGCTTCTCTCTTATTTTGAAGGTTTCGATAGTTTAGGGCAATAGTTTCATTTGTTTGCATAAAGCATAACAATAGGAGTAATCAAATGAAAAAGAGGCTTAAGAATAAATCATGTATTATTTCCTTCACTTAATTTCTGCTTGCCTGAATGGGAGCAAATAAATGGCAAGAACAAAACGCAAGTGTTGTTATATTTTCAGAGATTGCGCTTTATGATCAAACTGGACCTCTAGTTAAAAAGATGCTAATACAGGTTTTTATTACCTGTAAGGTTTGGGCACTGAGCTGACCAAAAATTTAAATATCGAAAGAGTGGAAGTCATAACGTAAGTTGGTTATAGCCTCTATTCCCGTACCCGCGTCCCATGTGAATAGATGCATGCAGATGATAATCAACACTGTGAGCTTACACTGCCCAGATGACATGATGATGAACTGGAGTAGCACCAGACTGCTCACAATATACACAATATACATCACGTATGAGTAGCATAGTTTTCTGTTTGCTATTTTGGAACTAGCATCATAATCTAAACAATGATAATTAATTTTTTTTTAATGTTCAAAACTATTCCATCTTAGTTGGTCAGCGAACTCAACATATATTCTGCCCCACTGGATTCTGAGAAGCTATATGGTATCTTTGCAGAGCCGTATGGTTAAAAGCATTTTCCAAAGAGATAACTGAGGGTTAAGGGGCAAAAGGACATCCCCAAGATGATTCCCTAAGTCAGTGACCTAATTAATGGACCACACACAAATCCACGGATCGCACAAATCCACATCCAATTTCCACATTATCGCAGAAATCAGGGGTTTCTGTCCCGAGGCCTTCTGGCATTATAGATATAAATTCAAAAAACAATGAATATTCCTAGCAAAAAATAAATAACTGATAAAATAACCCAAACTCCTAACATCCTTTAGTAAGAAGCTTAAATGATCTGATTTGCTCTTTCAGAAGCTGTGTTACAGATTTCAAAACTATGCCTGTTCCTCATTCATTGTATTTACATATCTTAGCCAGCATAAGTGCATTCTGAGAAAAATAAAAGATAGGAAAAACAAAATGAAATGAGAGATATATATCATCCAAAATAAGTTGGCCATAAGATAGGCTCTCTCTCTTTCGGCATTGGCAAAAGAGCACAAAGAGCTGGCCCTGACTCATATTGATTTCCCACTGCACTGGTTTCTTAAGTGCTCTGTTGATCCGTGTCAAGCAATAAGTTCCCTGCCTGAACATGCACATCACCTCCCCATTTGTCCTCACCTAGATTTAAGGTGCCCATATGATGAGCTGAACAAGGACATCATTTTTCCTACTGGTGTCACTGGGTCCAAACCACCGCATGTGATATGATAACTAATTCTGTGTGAGTTTACATTTGCCATATGATATGATAATAGCAGAGACCAGCACTGCACTGCACATGGGGTGACAGGGCTGTCCTAGTCTCATTTTGCGTGTCCCCGAAAGAAAATGTAAATGAGAACAGACAAATACAGAGAAACCTGGCTTTGGTGGGTTTCTGAAGAACACACCCTCCTCGCAGCCACCACACTGGGGCCGGGAGGGTTGGGGGGAGAAGGGCGAGACCAAGGGAATGGATGTTTGTGATGTTCCTGACAGTTTTTATCTTTGTTCCAGAAGAGCTCCTAAGCAGATAGATAGAAAATGTGTGATTGTGCTGCTAATGACATTGTACAGGAGATTAAGCGTATACATTTGGAGAAGGCATTAAATCAGCAGGACCTTAATTTAAAAACTTAAAACTGTATGGAAATTCAGCTTGCTCATTGCTGTGGAATAGAAAGCTCCCAAGCACCCCGAGTCTGTTTATGGAAAGACTGCCAGCAAACCAAGTTTGGGCAGAGCATCTTCATGGCTCCAAGTGTATGCAGGGTTATTTCTTCCAAGCAGTAACCCCCAGCCCTGTCCATTTGGGAGGATCCATCATTGCTTTAGAATTCGATCCCCATCATCAGGCAGGTGAGGAGAACTTAAGAATCGAAAGCAGCATGACAGGTTGTCCTTGACTAATTTGCGGAATAATATTATGTAAAATTAGTCAAAAGGGGTTGGGTTTGAGATTGCTGGGAACACACGGCTGAGCCACAGTGGATGGGTGGGTGCCCCGCTCTGCTGCTTATGCTCTCTTCTTCCTTCCGACTTACTCTCACATTTTATGCCCTTTGGTGGAAGCAAATAACCAGGGAGCCAAGGTATCAAGTCCTAAGATGAAGAATTTCATGCGTCTTTTTCTTCCCCCCCTCAATTCCAGTTATGCCGTACAACAGTGCCCACCACTGCGTTGTGGAGGTAGAAAACTTCTTGTTTGTGCTGGGTGGAGAGGACCAATGGAACCCCAATGGTAACTATTGAACTCAACAAGTATGTGTGTTGTGGAAGGCGCCGCCAGTAGCAGCCCGCTTCGTAATTACTGTGGAAAATGTATGTCTGTGCACAGGGACAAATGAAACAGTCGGTAAATTGGGCTGACAATTGGAGGGAGGGTCAACCATTGAGCCGGCAGAGGACGCACGCAGCAGAGCATTCGCTCATTGACTGTCTGGGGATTTGGCTTCGCAGTGATGCCCCAGCCCCTCTCCTTATCCATCCCCTGAGGAATGCCACGAGCATAAGCTCAGACTCCCTAGAGGCAGGTAGCAAGCTGCAGCTATTAAGAATCCTCACCACCTTCCCCACCACTTTTCTCCCATTTTATCAATACAGTAAAGCAGTTTTCCATAAATAAGCTTTATCTGCGGTCACAACGCATAACCCCAGCTGAAGTTCCTTTGCAGCTTTTGTTACTTGAGACCCACTCGGGTGGCTGCACCTTTTGCAAGGGCTCCTTTCGAAGACTATCCACCACCTTCCCTGTTGATGTGATTACTTCAGAAATTTATCGCAAAGAGAAATTGAACATTTTAACACACTTCCCAAGCCAACACGGGGAGAACACTGTGCCTTGTAGAATACGCAAAATTATCAAGATATTTTTGGAACGCTTGCACATGAAGGAGGAGTTGCGGTTGTAGCCTTCTGTGTAACAGAGATCATTATGACCGAGAAACCATAAAACAGCTTGCAGGTACACATTTTTACTTTAAAACCCCAGAACATCCAAGCAAAATTACATATACTGCATATATTTTATTGTGAATGCTCTCTTTCAGCATCTGCACCAAGGCAAATTATAGAAAATTGTTACATCTGTTCACTCTAGAAAATCTTCCAGGAAAACAACCCAGGCCACCCTCCAAGAACACTTCTTTGAGGAGAGCAGGACGTTCTTTCTCAAAACCTGCAGCTTTGTTGGTTCTGATCCTTGAGCGTTCCAAAGCGGACAGTTCCTGAGCTTTGTGAGAAACAGGTTTAGAACAGAAACAAAAGGGATAGTTAATATGTCTCCTCTAACTTACCTTTGCAGTGACAGACTTGACGTGTCCCCAAAAAATGCTGGCAGATGTACACTCTACTGTAAGCTCCCCATTTACTGCTTAACCTGTTCTCCCTCCAAAGTGATCTGAACTGAACAGAGCCTTTGTAAGTGAACAGTGCACAGCCATCAGGTTTATCTAAGCAAAAAATCTGCCGAGCAGTCTTTTTTGAAGGCCAGATTAGAACTCACATGTGACAAGAGAAGGCTGCAAAGTCCTGTTTCTGGGGACCATGCTCTCTTAGCCTGCCTCCCATCCCAGGTGGAGCAGGCCTCTGTTAAAATGCCAGTCTTGGTGTGACCACTTGGTGTTCACAAAACACCATGAACTTCCCATTCCTCTGAGACAGACCTTTTCAGCAACACAGAAAACCTGCTCCCAGGGTTATGCCCCTCCTCCTCAAAATAACCTACATCTGCTTACTGTTTCCCATTGTCTAATCAAGCATAGCTGAGAGATTGGGTGGGGGAGGGTGGTTAGGGAAGAGCATAATGGGCGTATTCCTTTGTCTGGTCTAGAGAGTCAGGGTTTTATCTACGAACTAATTCAGACTCCCATAAAACTGTGCCATTGGACCTCACTGATTTGCCTTCCCCCACCCCAGAGGAACAAGAATTCAGTTGAAAGCCCTCAATGAATATGCCGCAACAAAAGACTGTAGAAAACAGTGTTGCATTTACTTCAGAGACACCTGTCACTGTCACTACTCAGCATGCCCCATGTGAAGAGCTATGTGACAAATTCTTGCCAGACTGTAGCACTGAGGCATTGTGTGCTTTGGACAATTGCTACTAATGCATTTGTGTGATTTAACGTGTCTCTCTTCTTTTGCTTGAGCCACTAGGAGGCTCAGAATTGAATTTTAGTAAAACTTTAATTTTACGTTTACTCTCAATTTGGCCCTGGCAGCTCACTCTTTTTCTGTTAGACCCCCTTTTAGGGCTGTGGGAGTCCTACCTGAAAAGCTGAGTCATTCTGTCCCTGATGTGTCTGGCACGTGAAGCCATGTGTATAGATGTGGGCAAATGCTGATGAGCCACTGACTCAGGTCTCCTAAACAGAGGAGAATTAGTCACATCAGGAGGCAGGCAGGCCAGTCTTCTGTATCCGTGGGTCAATCACTCAGTCATTGGCTGAGGCCTTCCCCCAGGTCAGGGGGAGGGTAGGCAGGGATATGGCCTCTACAGCTGAGAGCAGTTCCCCAGAGAGGGAGCAGCTATGACAGTGAGCAACCTGGGGAGCACAGCACCAATCTGGTAAAGGTATCTGGGCTAGGTACCAAACACACCTCTATCACAATCCTTTAGACATTTTCCATGTAGCTTCATATTCCAACCATCTGGTCAACCATACCTGACCCTCCCCCTTTTTTTTAACCATGAACAGTAGCATTTATTGAGTACTAATTATTATCCAGGAATTCGCTAAGCACTCACCTGCATAATTTTACTTAATCCTCACAACCATCCTGGGAGGCCTGTTGCATGATTGTTCTAATTTTACTATGAGGAGTCCAAGCCCGAAGAGGCGAAAGAACTTGCCAGGACACGCAACTTGCACAGAGTTGGGCTGATTCCAACCTAGGTCTGTCTGCCTTGGTGTTGAACCATTGTATAACATTTCCCCCTCACGCAGACATATGTATTTTGTTAGATACTAAATAACAGTCATGTTTTTGCCTTTGATCTTGTGAAATTAAGTCAGTATTGTATCACAGTGGAAAGTGGCTCTTATTCCCAAGGAACTCTTCATCACTTCTCATTTAGAAAACCATGCAGGGACTCAATCATCTCAAAAATATGGTATTTTCATATTATAATACAATTATGCAATTAAAAAGTAAGCAGTTAATACCAAAACTTATAAAGAATAGCAATCCTATGATAATATATAACTTTAAATTCACTGCTACCAGGGAGGAAAAATTAAAAATCCATGAATTCAGATGTTTTGGATATGTCAGTTCCAAAGACGAAATCTTAAGTTAAACTTCAGTTCTGAAAATGATGCCTGAGATGCATGTCTTTGAATGAAATACAAAATTGTAAATTTTAATACATGCTCATAAAACATGTATGTACTCATAAAATACAAATATAATTTCATTTATCTATTATCTTGATTACAAGACCAAAATTTGAAATCATAAAACATATTATTTAAACAGGACACATACATTGCTTTTCTAGTCAGCTATAGATAATAAATCCTATTAACTCCCTTCATGTCAGTAGTGACTGGAATGCATTATAATATTCTAATACATATACATATATTCTGTCAGTGCCCCAGCTTACAGAAAACCGATTTACATTTGTCCCTTCCTGATGATGATTGACTCCCAAAAACACTGCCTGGAGGAGACTTCCTTCCCTTCCCATTCTAACCTTTCACCACTGGCTGAAAACTGCCACCCCATGCTCCATTTACCTATCACTTAAGGGATAGTCAACAATGGTGTCAGGTGATAGGACATCATCACACAAAGAGAAGAAATTGGGGCAGATTTAGGAAAAAATGGAAAAGATGAGAAGAAACTAAAGGAGTGGAGTAATCCAAAATCCCATTGCATATGGCCACCACTCTCAAGCTGCTGGTAGTGTCCCAAAAGAAGCCACAAGGAAGGAACAAATAACTCCTTTTTAGCTCATCTTCCTCTTGCCACCACACTCATTTCTTCGGAGGTTCATTATCCCCTCCACACATCCTTTGCCAACTCTAGAATGCCTTCCTTCTTTTTCTCTCCTCAGTCCTCGGTCCTCACCCCTCTTTCACACCATTGACCCTGCCCCTGGAAGGCCTTTCTTCATCTTCTGTCCATATCACACCGGTCCCTGCTTAGCCTTTTCTCTGAGTGAAGGCCACTACCAATACAACCAAAGCAAATATTGCTCATTTCTACCAGAAGGCGCTCTGCCCCATTCCTGAAAGGAGGCAGATGTCTTCCTCCAAATGAAAATTCTAAACCAAACTTCATAGAGAAACGTTCTTATATATGGCAAGTATGCTCTACATTCCTATTAACAACATTCATCTTCAGGTGCTCTGGGGAATTAACCTTGGAACCTATCAAGATTTTTTTTTTTCCTAGAGTGAAATGATTGCAAATTCTACAAAAACTCCCTTATAAACCAACTCTAGATGTAATCCTTCCTTGAGTTGGAGCCTCCCTTTGTGGAATCCAAGTCTTTTGGGTCATTCTCACTCTTGGAACTCTTAACTCTTTCTGTATACCCCCAAATAAAATTTAACTTACCACCCAATCACACCATCCAGGCCCTTTCACAAGGTCCTTGGGACTCAATGATATCACATCCACAAAATCCCCAGAATCCTTAAACTCTCTTCTGAATGGTCACCTCCATTCTCTTCTAGTCAAAACCTGGCAATCTTATAAGAGTACTGTTTTCCCAGCCAGCCTCTCTAATGGACCCTGGGTTCTGCTCCCCCAACCTGACCCAGAACTTCATATTATTGGAGGCAGGTAGACTCCTACTACCTCTTTGTTATCACTCCCACAACCTTAAAACCCACCACTTTAAAGCATGTCGTCAGGTTTTACCACCCGCTGCCCCTTTACGTGGCAGCTACCTACTCATCCCAGACACGCCGCCTTCTTCACTCTGCCCTACCACTTTCTCACTGATGTCCTTACTTCCCTCCTCACTGGCCTTGTGTTGCCCATCCCTGTAATCACATTAGCGCCTATTCCTGCAGCCGTTGCATCCGTCTGTCCTTCCATTATGCCTGCCTGGTAAAGCTTTGGCCCTGGTTAAGCCCGACACTCTTCCTCCTCCTCCCTGCACCTGAGTGACTAAATGTGGATAGAGAATACTGGCTACTAGCCAACCCCACTAAATTTCCCTGGTCAGTATACTCTCCCACCCTCCAAGTTAGCTATCTCATGCTTTCTCTCTCCTCAAATGCCTCTTTCTCCAAAACCTCCCTCCTCACTCTCAGCTGATGGCCTTGCCTCGTAGTTCGCTGAGAATAGAAGCAATCAGAAGATAAAATCTTCATCTTGCCATGACCGAGTCTAGTGCCACTTATCTCCGTTGCTACCCATGTATTTTCTCTTCGCTCCTATTTCTGCTCCAATCTAAGGCCTATTTCTCATTCTCACTTGTCTGCTCAAGGACTTTCTGGTACTTCTGGACTTAAAAACACAACCAAACTACCAAACAAAACCTTCTCTTAATGCTGCATCCTCCAGCTATCATCTTCTCCTTTTTGTGACAAAAGTCCTAAGAAGCATTGCCTTCCTCTTGCATCTGTTCTCTTAGATCTCAGTCTGTCTTGAGGAGTCCCTACGTGTCTACTGAATCAACAGTTGTCAAGGCCACCACCAGCCTCCACGTTGCAAATCCCACGGTCAGTTTTCAGTTGTTCACTTGTCTTTTTGAAGCACTCTTTGACATGGTTTCCAAAATATCGTACTTTTCCTCCTATCTCTGACAATTCCTTTCCTTTGCTGGTTTTTCTTTTTGTATTCTAGGGCTCAATCCCAGGACCCATTATCTTCCATGTCCATACCCTCTGCCTAAAGGGTTTCATTTTGTTCTATGATTTTAAATAATATCTCTAGACCAGTGACTCTAAAGTTTGCTTCTGCAGCCTCAGTTAGCCAGTGGCCTACCACACACTTCCACTTTGAGATCCTGTAGGCCTCTCAAGGTTAAGTCCAAAACAGAACTAGTGGTTTCTCTTACCAACCCCCACACTGCTCTTGCCTGGTCTTCCCTACTTCAGCAAATTTCATGACCTTCCATCTAGTTACTCAGGCTAAAAATCTGGCAGCCATCCTTAATTACTTACTTTTTCTCATACCAACATTCAATCTATCTGAAAATGTTATCGGCTATGCCTGTACAATAGATCCCAAACTTGGCCGTATCTGAATGTCTCCACCTTCATTCGAGCCACCATCAGCTCTTGCCTTGACTGTTAGAATGGCTTCCTGACAGCTCTGCTGCTCCCAGAGTGGCCCCTCTATAGTCTCTTCTTCACACAACAGCCAGAGTGACCTTTGTAAGAGAGAAATTAGGCCATGTTCCTCATTTGCTCAAAACCTTCCAGTGGCCTCCTACTGTTCTTATAACAGAAGGCACAATCCTATACCAGTACACAAGGCACACCAGATTTGGACCTCATTATGCCTCTGACTTCTGTTCAAGTCACCCCAGAATTTTGCTGGTTTTAAACTCATGGCCAACCCCAGGGACTTTCTACTCACCTGGCCCACTGTGTGAGAGGTTCATTCGGCGGATATTTGCATGGCTGGCAGAAGACATCTGTAGGCAGGGAACACTTCTATTTAAATTAGCCTCCCCACTATCAATCCCTGCTTCATTTTTCTTTATAGCATTCCTCTCTACTTGAAAATATGTATTTCTTTATTCATTCACAAGAACAGGGACTTTTCCTTTCTTGCTTACCAATATATTCTCAGAACCTAGAACACATAAGACATATAATAAATACTCAGTATATTTATGCAATTAATAATCGTGTTGGATATATGTGCCTGTGTGAGCATGTACACACGTACACACACACACACACACACACACACACGCACGCACTCCCCTGTCTGTCTATTCCTGTGGTGGAGTTTGGTACCTGTATTTCAATGTTTAGTTACACGTATATGAACAAAAACAGACTTTCAGAGTTAAAACTTCAAGTGCTTTAGATGACTGTCATCTCAGGCGCTACACAGAAAATGGAAGGCACTCTTTTGCTTCCATTTCTTGCTTTGGTGTCAGTCTGTATGAAAAATAAGATTCATATCAATGCCTCGGAGGCACCACTGTGCTTCCGAGGCTCAACAGAGGGGATATGGGTTCACCAGCTCTGAGGACTCCTGTTGCCCATCTTAGCACATGTGCCTGTAACTGTGCTTCCCCCGAATACATGCACACAACTAACGTGACACGCACAGGCTAAACCTGATTTCCTAAGGCAAACTCTTATTATAGTGATTGCTGTGATTTCCATGGGGAGAGAGCTGACTCAACCATGGCTAGGGTTTTGGATCATTAAAAAAAAGGGCTCTCACCAGAGATATCACACAAGGTGGTCTCTGGAACTGATTATTCACAGACAATAACTTCATGTTTTTAAAACACAAAAATTACCAAAACCCAGAAATTTGTCCCCTAACTTTGTGGTAAAACTGGTTTGATAAACATACTTGCTTTTCTTCTCATGGTTGATTTAGTTTTATTCTGACTCCTTCCAAAAAAAAAAAGGAAAGAGAGAGAAAGAAAGAAAGAAAAAAAGGAAAGAAGAAAGGAAGAAAGAAAGAAAGAAAGAAAGAAAGAAAGAAAGAAAGAAAGAAAGAGAAAAGGAACATGGAGGAGAAGAGAAGAAAAAAGGAAAAATAGTTGAGGTGGCACATTTATTTTTCCACGGACTTCCTGCTTCTCAGACTGTGTTAGATAGTCCCTCCAACTTAACTCATCTCTGTGTTACACCTGAGAACAGAGACATCTTATAAACACTATTAAATGTTCAAAACAACAAAGGAATCTAAGTTTTAAATGTCTCAAATATATTTTTACAGGAAAACACAGTACAAATTTTGTCAGCCGATACGATCCTCGATTTAATAGCTGGATACAACTTCCACCCATGCAAGAAAGGTAAGTGTTTATTTCGTATGTCTGAAACATTTGTGGCTGCCTTACAGGAAGCGTGGATGCTGAATGGTTTTCTGTGATAAATTATGCTAAACGGAGCCAATGAGAGAATGCAAAATTTGGCCTGGCCAATTTAGAATTACTACTTTGTTAACGCAATGGAGAAAAATAATCAAGAAGTCAATTATTGGTTCTAATAGAGGAAGAAAAAAATTGTATGACTTGTCTTCCGTTACTACATTGCTTTGGATTTTTGGCAAGTGGAGCTAAAATCTCACCGCCCCTCCCACTTTTCTCAGTGGTAGTATACTTAAATCCTATATATAAATATAAAACACCATTCTCACGGTGGTATCCATTTTGATGCAGAAATTGCAAGTATTAAATTTTCCAGTCTCACTAACTCAAATCCTTGACGTTTGCCCTCTCAACTATCCTCCCATCATACATTCAAGGAGAGATCCTTTGTTAGCTTTAAAAAAAAAAAAAAAGTTTTGCAAGCTGTCATCATGTTTTTTTTATGTACTTGGTGTTTGAAGCTCACCCCTGTCTCCCCGCTGCCAAGGGGTAAGTGGCTACTACATTCATACAGATTTTGCCTCTCCCGCTGTTACCTACAGGAGGCCGCATCTTAACATGCACATGCAAATTCCCATGCTAAATCTTGAGCACTCAGGGCGCCTGGGTGGCTCCATCCGTTAAGCGACTGCCTCCGGCTCAGGGCGTGATCCCAGGGTCCTGGGATCGAGCCCCGCATCGGGCTCCCTGCTCCGCGGGAAGCCTGCTTCTCCCTCTCCCTCTGCCATTCCCCCTGCTTGTGCTCTCTGGCTCTGTCTGTCTGTCAAATAAATAAATAAAATCTTTAAAAAAAATAAATTTTGAGCCCTCGATTCTTTTCAAATAATACTTCAGCATTCTCTTGAGCAAAGTATCTGATATAATAACAATAAGCTGCAACTTATTTCTTCTTCTCAACTGAATTATTGAAGAAATAATTTTCTTTCCTGTTTCCCTCATGACTCTTCACCCTAACATCTCTTTTATAAACATTCAGTTAGATTACGCTAAGATCAACTTAGATCCTTATCATAAATTCCAAGTGAACAGGAAGTTCTCAGATAATATCGTTGATTCAAAAATGTGCATTACTGCAGCAATGCTAGGAGAAAACTCTGTATCTAACACTCTCTTCCCTATAAATATATTAAAACCGCCTTTCAGGAGACTAAAAACTATACATTGGAAATGATGAGGCACAATATAAGGACCACAGACACTTTTAGGAATGTGTAGTTGAAAGGTACCTCGAGAAATTATTCTTTTTTTTTTAAAGATTCTATTTATTTATTTGAGAGAGAGAGAATGGGAGATAGAGAGCACGAGAGGGAAGAGGGTCAGAGGGAGAAGCAGACTCCCTGCTGAGCAGGAAGCCCGATGCGGGACTCGATCCTGGGACTCCAGGATCATGACCTGAGCCGAAGGCAGTCGCTTAACCAACTGAGCCACCCAGGTGCCCTCGAGAAATTATTCTTAAGTCAGCTAATATCCTGACAAACTTCTCCACCCCCCGTCTTGCACATACCTGTATGCATGGTAGCCTCCTGATGACTTTCTCCAGTGCGCCTTGTTTCTCTCCCTTTGGGGTTATTTCTTGGTTGCTCTTATTGTGGCTGCATCACTTTACCCTTTAATCAAAACCATCCCAAGAAGTTTTACTTAAAAATATATATATTTTTAAAATAAATATCAGTAATATGTTTGAAATGGCAGCATCTCATCACCACAGTCCCCTTTGCTGGGGGCTGCACACCATGATAATTAACCTTCACGCCTTCAGTTTGGGAGGCATAACTCACGTCGCGGTCAATTATCTCACTGTAGAGCCCCTAAGGATGAGAAGTATTGCTGCAAAACCTAATTAGTAATTTTTTTAAATGTGTATTGTTTACTTGATATTCTATAATGACTTCCTCTGAGGCACTATGGCCTATCATGGCAGGGTCCTACTTAGACAATTTTTAGCAGCTCATTGACCTGATAAAAAGACCTGCCATGGTCTGTTGGCGCCTGGCAGCAACCGTTGACAGGATGGACTGTTTAACGTTTCTTTCTAAGTCATTATGGTATATCATGTCAGGTCCCTAGTAAGAGAAGTTTTTTTTTAGATTTAGAACAATCAACTCGGTAGACCAAATAAAGAGCTCCTTATAGAGCTGAGTGGGAAAAGGCAGATCTCACAAATGCCCAATCTTCTAGCTCCAGATCTCCTATGCGTTGGTTGATCCAGGCAGCAATCCATAGCTTAAAATGAAATTTTTCTGTCATTGCCAAGCTTCCATTCTAAGTAGCAAGTATGATCAGTGACCGGCATGGCTTAATTGGTGATTAAACGAAGAAGAAAAGAAGAAAAAGAAGAAGAAAATATATGAGACACCCTTCAGACCCAAAAAGAAGTTTCTTGAAACATTTCAATGAGTTAATTCTGCATTTTATAGATCATGAATCAGGCTCACCAGAACTTGCCCCACCTCCCCCCTTCCATTAGTTGCTACCAAACCGTGGAGGAATGGTTATGCTGAGAAATTACCAAACTGAGAATAATAGAAACATGTTGAAAACCACCTCCGGGGTAACCCACTCTTAGAGCTGGCTGGACAGACTCCTAGGATATCTTACCTAATCAGAGCTTCCCAAGGAGTGCTATAATAAAAGTGCAGAATATGCCCCTCCCACCCAGTCCAACAGGGCAATGGGCACACTGCCTCTAGGTTTACTCAAAACTAACTCGCGAATTGTATCCCTGCTACCTATGAAATAATTGCAGGAAAATATACATTTAAACGTAATGCTACTGAGTTGTTTGGGTCTCAGATGTAGGATTTGATTCTTCAGTGAAAAGAGGTTAAAAGTTGAAACTAGGATCAATAGAAACGCTTTGATGCCTTTATATTATTTTCCAGTAAAAATAGACATTTTAGGTATTATTTATATGGAGATCTTACCTCCTAGCTAGTGCAGGAAAAAAAAAAAGATGAAAAAGAAAAAGCAGTTTGGAGAGCACTAACAACAAAGTTTGTATTTCACAGAGTAAGTTTTTATTTCACAGAGTAAGGAAATACATAAAAAATTGTTTCCAAATTTGAATATTTTGTTTCTAGAAGGCTTACAAGAAACAACGTGAAATTCTATTTGAAAAATCTGTTGCCATTTGAACCTGATGGTGAAAGTCAAGAATTGAGCTAATTGAGTAATTCAGTCTCATGCTTTAGTATATAAACTGACCACCCTAAGGGTCAGAAAGAACTAGTAAAGACCTGTACAATATGCAGGGTTCAAAGTATGTTTGTAGAAGTTGCTGGTAGTCTTTTTTTAACTTATCACAATGCTTTGAATATTGCCTTTGGCGTTGGGGAAGGAGGGGCTGGAGGAGAGAGAGATGAACAATTGGAAATACAAATAGTGTAATCCCATTTAAAAATCTTCAGTAATCTGGAATTTAGTTTTCCAAAAAAAGCCCCAGAGAGCCTAATCCTGTGTGGTTCTTTATGCGGGGGTGGGGGGGTGAGGGGGGTAGGGGGGCGGAGCTGCAGGGAGCACTCCCAAGAGAGACCTGGTATGGTAAAATTTTAGCCTGGAGCAAAGGTTCACAGTTGCTGACAGACCATTAACTATCCAGTGCTCCTATAATGCATTTCATGAATTCTCACTTTGGGCATGCAAGGGGATAAGTCCTAGGCTCAGAGTCTTCCCTGTTGGAATTTCTACATAAAAATGCACTTTTAGTCAGGAAGTGAAACCTACTGATTTTTTTTTCCGTTTAGATCCTAACAGTGACACTGTGTGGATAAAGCTAGGAGTACACATGAAGCATCAAATTAAGAAAATCTTGGCTAAAAAGAGAGCAAGTTCTGACAGGCTCACTCAGTGTCACTGAGGAAGGAAGGAACCAGGACAGACAAAGTCAGAGAACTGAAATTTAGACTAGGATGAAAGGAGTTCACACTACCATGAAGAGATCTTGCTCTTATTCTCCATTATCTAAACTTATTTAATGGAGAGTTTTCATACTTGTCATGAGTAACAGGCATTTTCTCTTCTAGACCAGTATATAGCACGTACAAGAATGCAACATCTTACAGCCCACATAATCCAAATTATTTAAAGCTGGCCCATTAGTAAAATTATTTCAGAGGCTCTAAGACTTTTTATAGAATCCTCATATGGAAGAGGGTTACTGACTTACTCTAGTGTCCACAGTGCAAAGAAATATCTGTGTTCCTTCGGTCTCTTCTTGTAGACGTGTCAGTCTTTCCAATGAAACATTTTCACTGAGAAGGTCAAAGCACTTGTTAGACACCCGTGACCCTGTCATATTCAATAAGAGAACAATGGAAATCTGGTTAGAGAAACAGAAGGAAGCAATGGACATCTGTGGGCACTTAATTTTGCAACTGTTTTTAACCTAACATTTATAACCTAACATTATATTTAACCTGTATTATATTTAAATGGGTTTTTACTTCTCTGTAACAGGAAATCTCAAAATTTTTAGATTAATGATTGCTCTGATAATCCAACTAAAAGCTTCTTCCAAATACCTTTCTCCAAACTTCTATGTGGAATCTAAAAAAAAAAAAAGTCAAAATTACAGAAACAGAATGAATGGTGGTTGCTAGGGGCTAGGGGATGAGGGAAATGAGAGCTTGGTCAAAAGGTACATACTTTCAGTTATAAGATGAAAAAGTCCCAAGTATCTAATGTATAACATGATGATTGTAGTTAATATTGTACTGTATACTTGAAATTTGCTAAGAGAGTAGACCTTAAGTGTTCTCACCAAAAAAAAAAAAAAAAAAAGGTAGCTATGTGAGGTGATGGATGTGTTAATTCACTTGATTGTGGGACTCCTTCCACAATGTATGCATATATCAAATCACTGCAGTGTAACTTTAAATATATCACAATTTTATTTGTAAATTATCCCTCAATAAAGCTGGAAAAAATTAAAACTGAATACATCACCATCTATAACATATACCATTACCGATAATAGTAATAAATCACCTAAACAAAGAATTTAACTGTCTTTTACAATATTACTAGGAAAAGTTTCCTTGCAGACATCTTGATGGCTGATTTTTAAAAACTTTTTTATGTGGGTAATGGCTGAGTTTTAAAAACTTTTTTTTTAAAAGAATTTATTTATTTATTTGACAGAGAGAGACACAGCGAGAGAGGGAACACAAGCAGGGGGAGTGGGAGAGGGAGAAGCAGGCTTCCCGCTGAGCAGGGAGCCCAATGCAATGCGGGGCTCGATCCCAGGACCCTGGGATCATGACCTGAGCCGAAGGCAGACGCTTAACGACTGAGCCACCCAGGCACCCCTAAAAACTCTTTTATCTGGGTAATGATGGTTCCAAAGCATGAACAAAATGCTGGACACTATGATAGTACTTTACATATGTATTTGCAAATAACCCTGTAAGGAAGGTACCATTAACATCCCCCTGTTACAGATGAGCAATCCAAGGCCGAGAGGGGTTGAGGCACATGTCAAAGGTCACACATCCAATAAATCATGTAGCCAGGCAATCTCTTCCAGAGACTAAACTGTTAATCAAGATGCTGTATACTGCTTCCCAGAGGTTTTGGCACTTTGTAAACACAACTTGGAAAATCTCCTGATAAAAAGCTCTAGGGACTCTTGATCTTACTACTCACATTGCCCAAGAGTCTTGGCACTAATTTTTATGAAGACCATACAGTCATCAAACAAATTATATTCTCTGAGGGGCTTGGCACTTAAACACTGTACTTACTCAGTATTGGACCATGTGTTATCCCCATAAAGTATGTTATTCCAGTAGCAGCAACAAGATAAAAGAAGCGAAGGGTCAAGGACTTGCTCAACATATCAACCTAATCACCCTCCAAATTTCTGAGTCCCCTTTGAACATGTGTTCTCCCTCAGCTCTCATGTCTTACTAGTTCCCAAGTCTTATATCTTCCTTTAAAATACCTTTGGCATCAGCCTTTGTGGATCTTCCATAAAACTCTAATTCAGGACCTCAATATCTCACTCCTATCTTATGGTCTGCCTCAGAATTGGTCCTTACAATACAGCTGGTGTCTTTGGCCCTTGAAGGCGTAATGGGAAGATTTAATAAATTGCGTCTCTGGAAAAGACTAAAAAATATCCTGTAGCTTTGTAAAAAGCAACACCAAAAACCGTATCACTAAAATTCCTACAATAGGTTATGTAAGAGCAAAATTTCAACACTAAATTCAGTTCACAAAAGTTTCTCTATTTGCAGTAGTACTGAGAAGGAAAAAAAATGATAATTGAAGAAAAATTTTGATGATGTAGTTCTCTTACAAATTGGGAACAATGACCCTTGAAGGACCATGAAAAAAGTGAATGTCAAGATAATTCATTATTGTTACATTATCTACCTCATTTTTCACTTTGTCTTACTGAGCTGTGATATCCTTACAAGGTACCAAATATCCCAAACATTAGTGAACATTTTAATGGTGTATAAAAAAGCAAGATAAAAGGAGCTGAAACAGAGTTGAATTTCTCCTCTATTGTTACTTTAATACCAAAAATGTTAGCCAGAGTGGGCAATGCATATGATTACTGTAAAGGTCTCAGATTCAGAAGGGAGCTGTGTGTGTGATTTCCAAGTTCCTGCAACCCTTTCTAAAGCAGGATGTACCTCCTTGGCCTGACTGAGCTCCTTTTGTGATTTACGGTGGGTTGCTGTTTTCATTGTAGAAGAGCCAGTTTCTATGCATGTCGGTTGGACAAACATTTATACGTTATTGGTGGAAGGAACGAAACCGGCTATTTGTCCAGTGTGGAGTGCTATAACCTAGAAACAAACGAATGGCGTTATGTGTCCTCTTTGCCTCAGCCTCTGGCGGCTCACGCAGGAGCAGTGCACAATGGGAAAATATACATTTCAGGCAAGTCATTCCTCTACTTTCTGTTACAAAGTTCAGTGCCAAGGCCCTTTCTTGACTTGTATGTATATGTTTCATTCACAGGGGGTGTACACAATGGAGAATATGTCCCCTGGCTATATTGCTATGACCCTGTGATGGATGTCTGGGCTCGAAAACAAGATATGAACACAAAACGCGCCATCCACACTTTGGCTGTCATGAATGATCGCTTGTATGCAATTGGAGGAAATCATTTGAAAGGTCTTTTTTTTTTTTTCTGAAATCACAGTATCATTTGCATCTCATGTTTCTTGCTAAGGGGATTTCTCGTTAGATAATCATAGTTAACCAAGTAAAAAACATGTTGACCAAATAAAATCGACTCCGTGTAAATTAGCTGGACCCTTGGGCAGGCAGTTATTTTAGCTCTTCTGCAGATAGGATTACTTTTAAGTTACCACACACATTAAAGAAATGAATAATGATGTTAACAGAAAGTAAAAAAACGAGAGCATTAAAGCACAAACAATTTGTTGTTACAATGAGTTCAGTAAAATAAATTATTCCTTATCCCCAAAATTATAGTAATAAATTTTTTCCAGAAAATTGTTTTTTGTAGTAATCATAAAGAACTTCAGTCATAGCGGCACAAAGAAGCTAATACATGATTTTTCTTAACGAGAATATTTCATAGAATTTCATGTCTAAATTTAGAATTATTTCTTTGAAGAGTTGAATACCAAACCTTCTATGACTCTCAAATTCCTTCTGTTTGCTTTGTAATAAAAAATATTTAAAACAGAGTATTTTTAGAGTTTTGTTTGGCTCCTTTCTTCTCCATACGTGTCTATGACCACAACTTCCTGTAGTTTGTGCGCGTGTGTGATTTTATGCTCATGCGCAGCGCCCTGGGTGCGACAGGGAAACAGAACTCTGGTGTTGAGAAGAGTCCCGAACTGCTTCGGGCCACAGTCTCTCGTCACCTGAAAATGAAGAAACTGGTCTAGTTGATCTCTAAAATCTCCTCCAGCTCTGGCCAGCCATGATCCTTGAAATTGAACCAAACGAGCAACAGGCCATCCGAGTGTGGTAGCTGAGGCCCATCTGTGCATTTATTTTTCCATAGTACACCCATCTAAAAACTGGGTTCAATGTAGACCTTCCTTTCTGGATTTCCTAATACATATGTACCCCTCCCGTAATAAAGACCACACAGGCTTAATGTTTATGGAAATATTTCCATGTTCACATTCAGTCCTAAACGTCAATATCCTGGTCCACGCTGCTCGTCTTTGTGCTCTCCTCAGTGGGAGATTATCTTTGTGGCTGTAATTCTTCCTTTTTTATTCTTTTTCTCTCTCACTGGTGCTCCTTCATTTCAATCCATACACCATTCCTTTACATCAAAATATTTGTATGTAGTATTAACTTTGTAGCTTTCTACATTAAAATGTGATTTCTGCTAATTTCTTTTGCATAATAATGACTAAACATTCTAGGAACTCTTAATGCTTGAGGTTGTACCAGAACAGAAAGATTTGGGGAATGACAAGCTAAATGATAAATAACACACACACACACACACACACACACACACACATATCAAATTAGGTTGGCTCAGGGAGGCATTATGGCTTAGAGGGAAAGGTATGGATTTGGGTCCCAGTTACGCACTTTTAGTTGTGTGGTCTCACTCAAGACACTCACACTCAACCTCACGTCTATAAAAGTGGGATAATTGTCCTTTCCTTGGTAGTTTTTGTGAGGCTTACAGTCCACATACGTAATATATGTACTGGGCAGGAAGAAGGCACACATACCCTCCTGTGATGCCACTGGAACTCCAGAACTGGGAATTTGCCCCAACCCTCATCCACATATATTATCATCAATAATCTTAATGGTAAAGGAAAGGAATATGCCACAGAATTCCAGTAAGCCCTTTGTTCTCCTGTTCCCAAAGCTGTGATTTATTTTACGTATGAAGTTAGTGGCCTGAAAGAATTTGTCCACCTCTCCCAGAATGAAAATTATTCTACTTTTTGGTCTATCTTCTCAATTACTTTGGAGAGCCCAGTAGGTTGAGTAATTTAGTGTATGCATTGGAATTGTCAGCTAGCAAATAGCCATTGCATGCACTTAGACAGAAGAAAAATATTACTAAGGATTTGGTCTACTCGGTGACCATGAAGCTCTCCCCTACGGATTTTTTGACTTCCTAAATTAAAAGCAGGGCCCCAGTGGAGTCCAAGAACTTAAGTTGTTCTCTGTAACCTGCTTATTGCCCCAGACACTGAGAAACTTCATCAGAGGTGAGAGGAGAAGCCCTCAGCAGAAGTTAGACCCCCTACTCTACCTTGATCTTTAGTAGATATTGGAAACCACTCACGTCATCATAGTTGTTTGTAAACATAAACTGTTAAAAAGGTGAAAGAGCTGAACACTATGTTTTTAGTTAAATAAAACATTTTGAGAGAGTTAAATATTCATTTAGGAAAATGATAGCGTTTAGTCTGTAAGAATATGAGCTCTGAAGCCTGTCTGCCTGAGTTTAAACCTCAGCCTGTCTGTGGAGCACTGGGTGTTATGCACAAACAATGAATCATGGAACACTACATCAAAAACTAATGATGTAATGTATGGTGATTAACATAACAACAAAAAATTATTTAAAAAAAAAACCTCAGCCTGTCTACTTGCTGGCTGCGTGCCTTATTCAAGTCATTACTTCTCTCTGCGCCTCGGTTTTCTCATCTGTAAAATGAACATAATGGCATAACTATCCCTGTAACATGTTTCCCAATTTCACCAGTAAATTTATACTTTTGTCCCTTTAGAGACAAAATTATCTATTTCTTGGATCTAAAGCTTTTTAAAAAAAAAAGAAGGCCTAGCCTTGAATCAGGACCCTGAGAGTTTATTCTTACGTGGTTCCATTTTGCTATGTCACTTAGGTTTCTCCCACCTTGATGTAATGCTCGTGGAATGCTATGACCCAAAAGGTGACCAGTGGAATATTCTCCAAACTCCCATTTTGGAGGGTCGAAGTGGTCCTGGCTGTGCAGTGCTCGATGACAGCATCTACCTTGTGGGCGGCTACAGCTGGAGCATGGTATGTGTCCACATTTACCTCACCCTCCTCGTTTCTGCTTTCTTCTTACTTTATGTTTCCCTCCATGTGTGTTACCATCCACACAAAAACCTTATAAGAGTGTGATGTTTGGGGGGTGCCTGGGTGGCTCAGTCGGTTAAGCGCCTGCCTTTAGTTTGGGTCGTGATCTCGGGGTCCTGGGATCAAGTCCCACGTCAGGCTTCCTGCTCGGCGGGGAGCCTGCTTCTCCCTCTCCCTCTGCTGTTCCCCCCTCTGCTTGTGCTCTCTCACTCGCTCTCTCAAATAAATTAATTTAATTAAATCTAAAAAAAAGTTTAAGAGTATCATGCTTGTATGCAAGCAGTAAGTTACTTTAAGTAATAAAGAATCAGCATGGTTGCTGTCGAGCTGGCTTGCTCTCTGATCAACTGTATCCCAAAATGTGGCTGGTCTCCACTTCTCTTCTATCCCCAGGCCTTTGTGATTCTGGCTTTCCAACTAAAATGAGACTGAGTGGTTTTAAAAATGTTCTGTTGAAATTGTTTGCATAGTTTGTTGAATTGTGTGAATTGTCCGAAAAGTTTCTGACCAGGGAGGCATGAAAACTAGAAATTGTTAAATAACCTACAAATTCTCTTTAGGATATATAATTTGCCATTGCTTTTCACTTTGCCCCATCTTTATCATGAAAATTTCCAAGCTCACACAAAAAGCGAGAGTACAGTGGACTCTCGTTAACCCAGCATGCAGCTTCAACATCCATCAAGATTTTGCCATACTTTATCTGTCCTTCCTTTTAAAAATTTTGGCTGAAGCAATCTGAAGCAAATTCTAGACATCATATTATTTCACCCTAAATGCTTCAGTATTTATCTTTAAAAAAATTATTTGCGTATGTAAACATACCATCATCACACCCAACAAAATTAACAATAATTCCTTAATATCTAATCTATATTCAAATGTTTCCTATTGAAATGTATATTTCAAGTTGATATGTTCAAGTCAGGACCCAACAGTCTCACTTGTATTGGGTTATTGTATCTCATCCATCTCTTGCAGTCTGGAAAATTACCCCCACTCCACTTCTTCTTCCATACCATTAACTTTGTAGAAAAAAACGAACAAACAAACAAACAAAAAAAAACCAGGGTCAGTTATCATAGAGACTAGCTGGCATTTTGGAACGGGCAAATGACGACCTTGCGATGTCATTTAAAACAGTCTCTGTCTCTGTATTTCCTATAAAACAGGAAGCTAGGCATAAGGACTTAATAATTAAGCTCAGCTTTTTTCTCTTTAAAATTTCTTTTGTTCCCTTTTTTTTTTCTCTTTTGTCAAGAACACCTGAGGAGGTGGCCATGTAGTTGGAATTACATCACGTTAGGAGCCACACATGCTGTGTGGTCAACGTATTCATTTTTTAAATGATGACTGTCTTTATATTTTCTTAGTTATGAGTTGGTTTTGTAAGACTAATTGGGGGTTTATTTGTTTTGCATCAAACAAGGTTGTTACATAGTTTGGGGGGAGTTTTCAATGGATCTTAGTTATATGGAGGCAAATATAGATTGATATATACATAACTAGATATCCAGACCTGTGCTTATTCGCTGGTACACAGCACTAGCTGCAAAGCATATGCATTTGGAACCAGACACCAGCAGTACATTTTCAAAAACTGATGACTAGGTTGGTTGGAATTTTTGGGTTTTTCCTATGATATAAAAACCAAACAGCTCTGGTTCTAGAAGGGAAATGCTACAGAAGCACTACCACTAGATGTTAACAAAGGAAACAAGATTAAAGACATTTTTTATTTCTCATGTGGCCACTTGAAAATCAATCAGTCGATTGATCAATCAATCAACGTACAAAGAAGTTGGCAAGCCCACTTTTCCAGTTTACTTTAAGCTAGTTTTGGATGCCAGCTCTGATTCTCTAGGGTAGTAAAATAAGAATGGAAAAGTGAGGCAACAATCTCAAATCCAATTTACTGAAATTATTTGAAAATTGAAGATGAGGTTTTTTTTTAACTTAAACCAACTGGACAAATTCCAGTTTTTGGTCAATTATTTTGAAGGATTTGTTGATCGTCTAGGTGTTGTAGTCACTTGACTTTTATTATTAATTACACACACACAGATTTTGAAATCTTGTGACTCTCAAATTTTCCTTTCAAATAAACCAGTTTAAAATTCACTGCTTTCATTTGGAACTTTTTAGCAAGAGCAGAGAATCGATGTTTTCTTTCCAATGTAAATGTGATCAATAAGATGGTCGTTGCACTTCTCTGAACATTCTTCCCTAAATGCCCCCTGCTCTGCCATTACAGGGGGCCTACAAGTCATCTACAATATGCTATTGTCCGGAAAAAGGCACCTGGACAGAACTGGAAGGAGATGTAGCGGAACCTCTGGCAGGCCCAGCCTGTGCAACGGTTATCCTGCCCGCCTGCGTACCTTACAACAAATAACACCAGCAAGCCCTGGAATGAACAGTATCACATTCTTGGAGACAGTGACAGGTGACATCACTATTATGCTAGGAACAGTGCATTCTAATGGTACAACTGCCGAAACCCACCCTTGGTTTCTAACGATATTTCCAAATAACTACAAAAGAAAAAGACCTGTTCTTGAACAGATACCGTGTCTGTAACTCGGGTCACACCAAACGCATGGTGGTGACAGACTCTTCCACTTCAGACTGGTTTTAACTTGCCCCAGCTTTACAAAAACTCCTCACGTGGATTTTAACTTTCAAAAGGAGAAAGATAAAATACAGAAGAGTGCCCCCAGAGAGACCTAAGATCAGTATTGTGCATTGTAGTCTACCTGCATGTGATCTATGTTGAAGTTTTGGGGATATTGTGTTCATGAATGATTCAGAATTTGACCCACTAAAATACTTACTGCATCACAGAAATTGCCACTTGACTCTATATTCCTAACCTGTGGCTACTTCACAGACTCCATAGGCAACACAGTTGTAGAAAATCATATAAGATTAGAGAGGAACATGTTTGTTTCTATAGATCTGCATTTCATTTACATTCTGCCCCTTACAGCACCTCATGGGATCAGAGAAGAGAAAGATGTGGGTTCTTGTAGCAATTGCTTTCTGCCCTGTAGGTTCTAGGCCAGCCAGTCATAATCTGCGTCCTCAATTTCATATGAAAGATTAAAACAAAATATATTATGTCACTGTTCATTCCACAGAGGCTCATGTTTTCTCATTTTCTACAGTATATAAAAAAGTAGTGAACACAACTGTCATTTCTTTCAAAAGGTAGGACTGACAAAGTCACTTGTACAATATTGAAGAGATTCTGTTGAATAACACATCTGACCCAAACTTAACCCATAATGAAACTGGGAGATTGCTTTTAGGAATTCAGGGATGAAAAGAAAGAATAATTTCTTTTAAGTACAATCCCAGTTGTCTCTCTGCGCCTAAGACACACAACTTAAAAGAGCCACAGGAATGAATCATAGCTCTTAACAAATATTTCTCCCTCTTCCTCACCTCTGGCTCTAGAAATGGCTCTAGATTTGGCTCTAGAAAAGCACATGACTCACCCTGATTATTCTCCAACTCATCATATTCATTTGTTATCACCAAAGATGCCTGAGCTCAGTTAGGTGAGCAATTGCTAGTTGTCTTTAGGAGCATGAGGAATTTAGGAGCAGAAGGTCAGGAGAGCATGAGATAGTTTTCGGTGCGGCCAGTCAACAAAGCAAAACGGGAAGGAACATGAATTTGATGTTCAAGCCCTTCAGAGCTGGAACAACAACAGTTAGGAGTAAATACTAGCCTAAAATATTTTTCAATCACCCAGAGGTGCATTGAATCCCTCAACAAAGGTGTCATTCGAAACAATGACGTGGGGAAGCCACAGATTAAAAAATGCCTTGGTGATAAGCTTTCACCGTGGAGCATGTCAAGATAGATGAGTGTACTGGAATCTAATGCCGTTTCTACAGTAAAGTGCAATCTTTGTTGTTTTTGTATTTATTTGTATGTTCAGATCCAAAGGATCCGTTGTAAAAATATATATATAAATATATATATATACATATATATATATACATATATATATATATATCTCCAGTGCAATCAACTTTCAAGGCTTTCACTTCTTTTTCCTTGAAAACATATGATATAGAGAAGGAAAGAAAAGTTACAGTACTTTGTGGGGAAGAGCCTAGCTGGCGTCCTGAAGAGAACAAGGTCGGCTTCAGAACCTTTGATCGTCAACTGCTACCATTTCTTCTGAAAGTCACAGTTTATACGAGGATATTTGCCTTCCTTAGACTTGTTCTTCATTTATTTTTTATTTCTAGCCAAAATAAATAAGAGCATTTATGAGAACTATAAATAAAGCTTTCTGTATTTCAGAAAGGCACAAACTATTAGAAGTGAAAAGTGAGTACATAAGTCACAGAGATTGTAAATTTTGTACAGTATTAGAATGTGTAAATGAAGCTTGCTTGGAAGGGGAAAACTTTAAATAAAAACTTTATGTACTAATTCAACTGTCTCATATTCCTACCTATAAGGCATACATATAAATCTCTATGGTGAATTGTTTAAAGGTTTACAATATGTAAGTGCCTAAATATTGTTATTCTGTTGATACGCTTTGCAAGTTTATTTAGCTTTCTGGCAATATATAAATGTATATGGTATGGATGATGCAAAAAATTATGGAATGCTTCTGAAAGAAATGTGTGAGTTAAAAATTATGAGTAGAGGGGTGCCTGGCTGGCTCAGTCAGTATAGCATGCGACTATTGATTTTAAGGTAGTGAGTTCAAGCCCCACGTTGGGTGTAGAGTTGACTTAAAAAAATGAATTTTTAAAAAATCATGAGTAGAATCTGATTTATCCACTGCAAGAGTGCTGTGATGAGGCATAAGTTATCTAAGATCTAATAATTAAATATTTATGTAGATTATTAGAAGCACCATATGTATTAAACAGTACTTGCACACTTTCTAAAGAATAAGTGAATCATGCACTTAACTAGATCAATTATCTTAAAACATAGTATTTAATTGTATTTTCTTTTTTAAAATCTGAAAAGGAAGTGCAGCGGAAGGAAAGAGGCTGCGGGAGACAGTAGGGGAAACTGAGGCATGTAGCTGAAGGTAGAAGTTGGGCAATCTTCTAGGCAAAGAGTTATGAAGGGTTGGAAGCTATTTCCTGAAGCCTGCAAGCTGGAAAGAATTTACTTTAGTTTTTTCCCAGCTAAATGGACCTTTGTTGATGATTAAACCCATAATTAAAGGATCATTTGATCCCTCCTAGTATTCCATGAAAGCAAGAGTAATGCGGTTTCTGTGTTCTTCTACTGGATCTCCAGCCTTTCATGCTTGCTCTCTGCAGTAGCCTCTGTTACCATCTTCCCTGAGCCGATTGACTAGTTGTTGTAGGGCTTTTTCCAAATGCCCCGAATCCCCAAAAGCTCTAGTACTGACCAGATACCATGGGCAGTTAAGCAAAAACTGTCTTTTTCCTAGTCCCAAGGAACCGCCTACTTTAAGTCTGTAACTAAACTGACAAAAACTGGGAGAGTGAGCATAGGGACCCAGTTTTTTAGTTAATTAAGCTGTTTGTAGGCTTAAAATCAGTACCTGTGTTTGTGCTCCCCTATTAGGGCCAAATTTATATTTTCCCAGCTGCTTGACATTTATATCACCTAACAAACTGTCATCATTATCGACATTATAAGTATCAAGTATTTATTGAACATATCCCAAAAGGCATCACTATAAATGCCTGAGTTCTTATTAAACTTGGTTCTCTAGGTCAAAGTATTTTTTTTTTTAAGATTTTATTTATTTATTTGACAGAAAGAGATGCAGCGAGAGAGGGAACACAAGCAGGGGGAGTGGGAGAGGGAGAAGCAGGCTTCCTGCGGAGCAGGGAGCCCGATGCGGGGCTCGATCCCAGGATCCTGGGATCATGACCTGAGCCGAAGGCAGACGCTTAACGACTGAGCCACCCAGGCGCCCCTAGGTCAAAGTATTTTTTAAATGAAATAGCAAATAAGCTAAAATAAGGTTGGTAAAGCAGCCCAAAGCCAATTAAAACACACTGGCAGACATCTTGATAGACTGAGTTCCTATAGATGAGGTAGCAGGAAGATGATGACTGATCAAGCCTGACTTCCTAGAAGCACCTGACCTAGAGGATGTTGAAACTGTGATAGAAAATAAAATGGCAGGGCACCTGGGTGGCTCAGTCAGTTAAGCATCAGGCTCTTAATTTTGGCTCAGGTCATGATCTCAGGGTGGTGAGATTGAGCCCTGTGTAGGGCTCCATGCTCAGCGTGGAGTCTGCTTGAGATTCTCTTGCTCTGCCCTTCCCTCCACTTGCACTCACGCACTCTCTCTCTCTCTCTCTCTCTAAAATAAATAAATAGGGGCGCCTGGGTGGCTCAGTCATTAAGCATCTGCCTTCGGCTCAGGTCATGATCCCAGGGTCCTGGGATTGAGCCCCACATCGGGCTCCCTGCTTGGCGGGAAGCCTGCTTCTCCCTCTCCCACTCCCGCTGCTTGTGTTCCCTCTCTCGCTGTGTCTCTCTCTGTCAAATAAATAAATCTTTAAATAAATAAATAAATAAATCTTTAAAAAAAGAAAAAGAAAGAAAACAGCAATGAGAAGCAGCAGAAAGGTCAATATAAAAAGAAAATATCTAAGTAGTATGTGTTCTTTGCGTGGTTGTACTTGTATAGCTCTGCTCTGATTAGTATCACAAATATGGGCCAAGTATCGGACGGGGTTCTTAATGGAGACATTCTACATGTGTTGAGTTTACAGGCTTGGCGCAATAACAAAAAGTTCACTTCAACAATGAGTATGAAAAATACGCTTCAAGAATGCAACACAACAGTATAAGAATAAGAAAAGAGTCTTCTACAAATTGAAGTTTGAGTGGCTTATTCTATTCTAGGTTATTGTCTGACATATATTAAGGACTCAGTAAATGTCATTTCTTAACATTAGCAGGAGTAATATTACCTTAGTGCTTCTAGCTCACTAATGATGCTAAAAACAAGATGATTGGAGTGAGTTAACATGTAGAAATATCTACTCCTCAGGCTAAAAAGAAATATATAACTTCAGGTAAAGTGGTCCTTGATTCTAACCTCCCCTTCTGTTTTTTATTTATTAGGGTGACTCTTCCTCTGTGGCCTTTGAAATCCCCTATGTACAACAAAATGATACATGGAGTTAGGTGGGCTGGGGAGGTAAACATTTGGCTGCGGGATGAAGTCATCCTACCTTTACAGACATGGCAGGCTTCTTGCTTCCAATCAAGTCACTCAAATCCAGGACATTTGAGGGGGTTGCCTGGGGACTCAGTTGGTTAAGTGTCTGCCTTCGACTCAGGTCGTGATCTCATGGGTCCTGGGATGGAGCCCCATGTAGGGCAGGCTGCTTCTCTTTCTCCCTCTGCCCCTCTCCTCCCCCATTCATGGTCCCTTGCATGCTCTCTCTCTCTCCAATAAATAAATAAAATCTTTAAAAAGGAACATTTGAAAACCAAACTAAATTAGGAAAAAAGGAATAAGAGAAATAGGATTTAGTTATTAATTCAAAGTTATTAAGTCAACAATATTATAACAACATAACACTTCCACTGATTTACTGCTTGTTATGAATGAGGTATTATGCCAGCATTTTATACATGTTTTCTCATTTACTCCTCTGAACAGTTCCATGAGGTAGATATTATTCATAAATTAAAGGCCAGGACACTTATGCTCAGAAAGGGTAAACTATTTGATAAGGTTAGACAACTGATAAGTAGTGGAGCTAGGAGTCAAACCAAGGCTTTCAAACTAAGTCATCCTCTGACCAGCATCTTCTTCCAACAAA